ATTTTTTCTACTGGACCATGATTATCCGCACGAAAAGTTAATTGACGTGGACGAATACCTGCTATTGGAACATTAATTTTTATTTGACTCAATAAATATTGACTGTCCAAATATCCATTTAATAATTTATGTAAAAAGACAAGGTTGATTATAGAGCGTCTATGTTCCAATTTTTCAATTTCAAACTCTTTTCTAATAGGTCCAAATGAAACAAATCCTGGACTTGTATGATACTTTTTAAAGTATAAATATTTGACAAATTTTTTTGAATAGTTTCCAAAATGTGTTTTAAATTTTGTTGTGTAGGGTCCCATACAGTGGATGCATATTCTAATTTACTACGAACGAGAGCAAAAATACATTTTTAATCGAGTGTGTGTCTGTAAAGTCCCCAGTCGTGCGTTTCAAAAAACCTAACAATTTGTTAGCTTCTTTGGTAATGTTATGGATATGCTCGTCAAATTTGAAATTATTTTGAAAAACTATTCCCAAGTCGGTCATTTTTGACACTCTTTCTAGTGTTGATCCTTGCATTGTGTAGATAAAATTTTGAGGATTACGAATGTTACTGAATGTAATAACCTTCCATTTGGAAAGATTAAAATGTAATTTATTTTCAAATGACCAATCCGAAATTGAGTCTAAGTCATTTTGAAGGTCTAGATAGTCATCTAGGGTGCATATTTTCTTAAAAACTTTCAGATCATCTGCATACATTAGGCAGTCTGATGTAATAAGTAGAGGAAGGTCATTAACAAATATTAAGAAAAGTAGAGGGCCCAAATTGGAGCTCTGAGGGACCCCAGAGCCTGCGAGGATTGTATGAGATACTTCACCACCAAACATTACGTATTGATACCTTAGTTTTAGATAAGACATAAAGAAATTTATTAGATGATCGCTAAGACCATAATATTTCAGTTTAGCTAGAAGAATATTGTGATTTACCTTATCGAAGGCTTTCTTAAAATCAGTATAAATACAATCTACTTGCTCACGAGAATTGACACATTTTGATATTTTATCACTGAAAGTTAATAAATTTGTATCTACAGATTTTTTACGACAAAATCCGTGTTGTTCGGTTGATATGTATTTTTGAAAGTAAGCATACAGTTTATCATATATTACAAATTCAAACAGTTTCGCCGTACAATTTAATATGGCTATGGGACGATAATTACCTATTTTATTTTTATCCCCTTTTTTAAAAATTGGTGTTAATCTCGTTCTTTTAAATTCACTAGGAAATATATGTAGACAGATTCAAGTAGGAAGGTCTAAGTGGTGACATGAAATGAAAATGAAATAAAAATAGAAAGAAATCATCATTTTCCTAAAAAAAACACTGGGTTTTAGAACAAATATTCTCTTTAATGTCGATTTATTTTAAAAACACAAAATTCTTAGCAAAATACAAAAAAGATAAAACTACATACTTTAAATAAACAAAAATTCATTAGAGATTGGGTAAGTATGTTATAACTAGACACAAATGCAACTTGGAAAAATAAGGGACGGTAACTAGACACTTATAACTGAAGTCCTGGGAACTACAATGACCCTCTTCTTAATATTGTTGGAAACTGAAGTTTCCTTATAATTTCTCTTTTATCGATTAATGATTCTTGCTGTACTGGAGGAAAAATATATGTACATTCTATTTTAGAATGTGCTGTTAAATATGAAACGACAAATCCTTTTCGGTAGCAACGATTTTTCCTACAAACTTCTTGGATATATTCTTTGCCCATTTCAGTTCGACTAGAATAAAGTCGTTCTCCTGGTAGTCACTTGACAAGTTTTCTAGTTCATCTCGATCCGTCTCTTTGATTTCTTCATTTTCAGCTTCTGGTCCAGCAATGGCTATAGTGGTGGTATCTGGAGGAGGACTAATCTTTAAAATAAAACCGATTCATCATCTGAGGTATTATGACTGAATCGTCTTGACCTGGGATGCTTTCTCTTCAAAATTCGTCCCAATCTTCTTCTGTTTCAGATTCTGGAAGAACTCTTGGTTTTTTGTTTTGTGGGTTTTGAAGCATCAGGCTTCGGGCTATTGTCCTTCTTAGTTGCATCGTCAGATTTTTGTGGATTAGGAGCAATATCTTTCAAGTGCAAAGCTTTTCTCTGGCTGTATATCCAGTTTCTTCCTTCTTCCCTTTTGAGTCACGCTGGTTCCATAACGCGCCTAATCACCTCTTGTAGTGTCTAGGCATTATTTCAAGTCGCCCCTAAAAGTAAAAAAAAAAATAAAATAATACGGCAGTGTTTAACAGTAGGTTTTAAAAATTATTTTCGGTTCAAAACATTGACAAATATGTTGTACCAGGCCAGAAAAAAATACTTGGGCATGCTCGTAATTATACAATTGATTGCACAGACATAAGTATGCAGGGTAATTTATTTACCTGATATCAAAGAGTTACCCACTGTACACTATGACTAGCACGCACTTGTTATTTACCACAATGCCTCGCAGACAACCTGTTGAATGAGACTGAAAGACTAGTTTAGCTCTTAGTTCACATCAGTTTTGTCTACGTCCCAACCGCAACTCGGGTGCCCTCGGTGTTGCCAAATTTGTTATTTACTTCGGCTGTGTTGTTTCTGATTGTATCATAGAAAAATAGATTGTACAATCGGTTATAGATCATTTTATGTGGTACGAAATATATGGTGGCAATACAAAAGATACTTTTACCAATATTTGTGAACATATTTTAGAAAAATATGCATTTTAATTAATTGTTGTTTTTATTAAAAAAAAACAATAGGTACTTTGGTTTATTTGTTATAAGTAGCGATATTAAGCTGAGAAGCAAGAATGCCTATTCTTTGATCTGTGTCAGTTGGGGAAGAGGATTTCACTCACGTTCAGCTTCAAAGTATGTTTGCATTCATCACAAATAAATTCCATATTGAATTTCTCGTATTTCACTTTTATCACATGAAGGATGTACAAATACTAAGTTTAACAAAACATAACCAAACAAATTTAATTTACAAATTGACGTATTGGCATTTGGCAACACCGTGGGCACCCAAGTTGCGGTTGGGACGTAGACTCCAGGAGTGCGTTTAGAAACCTCGTACGGCGCGTCTGACCACATACATTAGAATAGGGTCCAGACGCGCCGTGTGAGGTTTCTAAACGCACTCCTGTGTTCACATGCGGCGTTGTCACTACTTCAAAATTTTCACTGCATTTTATTTCAATTCACCACACGATTTCAAGCCACCCCATTCTACGGTACATTTTTTTTTGGGATGAAGGGGCATGGGATTAGGAAATTGATAGGCAGCTTAGTTATGATTTATTGCTTTTTGTATTAACTTTTATGTTAACTATGTTTAATCAAAAAACGTTGTAATGCCAGATCTTAAACTGTAACAAATTGTGTCTGTGTGTCTAAAAGCCAATTCTCACTAGGCGCTCAGGTCACACTACGCTCACGATCTGCTCACACTCAAGGATTTGAGGTAGTATTCACATATTACATTCAACTGACGCTCATTTTAATACGTATTTTTAATCAATTTTATGACACATACCTGTTGTAAGATGAAGAAATTATTAATAATTGATTTAGCTGCAATTGCAATATGTTTAGATGATAAAGAACAATAACACAAAAATTTCGTAAAATATGTGTTCACGATATTTTAAGAAATAGAAAACCGGAGATTTTTTCACTCTACACTAGTGAAAAAAATTAAGGTAATAAAAAAAATCTCGAATTTTTTGCGATTTTTCGAGTGGCTGCATTTTTAGTAAAAATGGTCGTACGTGAATAAAAAAAAAAAAAGCAATTTGAAGCTTGAAGTGTCTAGTTTATGGATAAAAAAATTTTCCAACCAACAATTAGGACAAAATCCTGATGAATATCATGGATAGAAAATTTTTAGTGTACGGACATAAAAAAAATTTCTCGACATAACCACTATATGCATTGGATAGGTGGTTCAGTTAGCTTCAATTTCTTTTTTTGATGGCCTCGAGATGACCCTTCCTTGCTGAGTTATCAGAAAATGAACGAAAATGCGTCATTTCCTCTTCTCTCGTCAATATCTCAGGAACCAAGGGCCGCTCAGAAAATGGAAGGCGGGTTTCGGAAACTTCGATTTATTCTCTACAAGGTTCTGGCATGTTCTTTCACGAGAAAATTTTTTTCCTCCCTAGCATGACTGAAGAATTTCAGAAAACAGGTATTTTTGAGGTTTTTTTAGAAAATCACGTGTTACATTGAGAATATTGGGAAAATGAATAATGTTGAGTGTGCATCTTACAGGCCATTGTTCCCCCGAAAGCCCTACAAAATTTCAACCTGATCCATTAAGCCGTTTCATTGTTTCAAGCGTGTGAATTAATTTTCGAAAAAATTAAAGGATCGCGTTTTTCTATCCATGATATTCATCAAGATTTTGTGCTAATTGTTGCTTGGAAATTTTTTTATCGCAATATCTATAAACTAGACGCTTCAAACTTTAATTGCCTTTTTTTTTTCATTCACGTACTACCGTTTTTACCAAAGATACAGACTCTCGAAAAATCGCAAAAAAATCGATATTTTTATTTTGATCCCTTAATTTTGTCCACTAGTGTATATAAAGGCCTTTTTGACGATACAATATTTTCGTATTTCAATACATTTTGAATAAAATTTCAGCAAATTAGATTAAGCAAAATACTACATTTGGGGTGACAAATTCACCCTTATAGAATAGAGAAGTGGCTAGTCTGATTGTTGTTTGTACACACTGACGCAAAGGTCCACTCACGGTTCATTCAAAATATCCGCAAGGAGAAAGACTGCGGTCAAAGATCATGTGCTTACTGTGAGCGAACCGCCAAATATGAATATTTCCATTTAAATAGCATGTCACAATATTGCTTCGCTCCTTGAATGGGGCGTGAGCGGAGCGTGACCTGAACTACAGTGAGAATCGGCCTTTAAAGCTCATGAAAATAATTGTTCATTATATTTTTGGTATTTTAGGTTCCTGTAGGTGATCAACCTCCAGATATAGAACAACAAATTAGGGAATTAGTTTTAAAGTATACCTCTAATCCAAATTCAATCATTCTTGCTGTGGTTACAGCTAATACTGACATGGCTACTTCAGAAAGTTTAGCTATAGCTAAAGATGTAGACCCTGACGGAAGAAGAACGTTAGCAGTAGTTACCAAATTAGACTTGATGGATGCAGGTAATTAAATCATTGATATTTTGTATATCTATCTGCTCGACAATATTTCCTAAATAAAAAATTTGGTACTTAACTTACAAACTTTAAAATATAAATAATTTTTTTGTAATTGAGTATTTAAGGAAAGAAAGTAAGGTGGTTGAATAATTCTATGACTTTAGGAATTATATTTATTTCGCTATTGATAATAGCTCCTTTCAAGTTTTGCAACTCATTTTGATGTCATTTCTTAATTAATTTTCAGAGGATCATGTAAGTGGTAATACAATGATTCACATTATGGCCAGTTTAATTATTATTTATACTACCTGATTAGAACATCCTTAGGTGTACGGTGCACAAAATTAATATTTCTTAAGATTTCAGCGAAATAAAATTACTGAAACCATTCCATATATTTATCATACCCTGTATGTTTTTTTTTTGTAGGAACTGACGCAATTGACATCCTTTGCGGTAGAGTTATACCTGTCAAATTGGGCATCATCGGTGTTGTCAATAGGTCACAACAGGACATTTTAAATAACAAGAATATCAAAGATTCATTGAGAGATGAAACTTCTTTTCTGCAGAGTAAATATCCCACATTAGCAGCAAGAAATGGAACGCCATATTTAGCTAAAACACTCAATAGGCTGTTAATGCATCATATAAGAGACTGTTTACCGGATTTAAAGGTAATAATGCAAGTTATTTGTATTTTCTATTAATGAAAGTAGAAATTTAAATCTTGTTGCTATTGTTTTTCCAATATTGTTCTTGAATTCAAATTTGATTTGTCGATGAACTGCAAAATTGATAATATGTGCCATCCGTGAAAAATAAGAGTACATAAATTAAAAATTGGTAAAACGTAAATACTGTTATATCAGGAGATGGCTGCAATTTTCTTTGTAGTATTTTGTTTGTAAGTGTGAATTAATAAAAAGACATTATTTATACGGTAGTTTAGAAGTGTAAGTTGATTTAAAATAAATATGCTATTAGATATTTGGTATATTCTTTGCCTGGAAAAGTTAAACATTTATTATTACGAGGGTTGTCTTTTTAATATAGAGCTAGATTAAAACAGTAAATATATTTCAAGGACTTTATTGTTTTTTGAAGTATTCTTCACACATATTACTGCACTTTTGGGTTGGGGTTCGGCTTTTGGGCTAGGGCAGTTGGGGGGTCGACATATTAAGACCAAAATTGGTATATAGATGTATTATCCCAAAAATATGAAAATCACATACAAAACCCCCTAGCTGATATGGAAGGGGTGTCAAATAAAGGTACAATTTTTCAATAAAACAGTTTGAATTTACGATTTTTTCTACATGCATACCCAAAGATTCAATTTTTTTTTTGATGAAATTTTACAAAAAAATATTTTTGTACTGAAACATTTTCGACCAGGAGTAGTATTCTCGAATTACGAATACCGACATTCGCATACGTGTTTTACAATGTGTCTCACTTTGTTGAACGAAAACCAAGTGAGACAAATCATAAATCTCGCATGCGAATCTATATTCGTGACTCGAGAATACTACCCCTGAACTGTCATATTTCGGATATGGGATTTAAACATAGTTATAAATGAGATAAAAATCTAACTTTTGGCACATTTACAATAGACCTGGGGCCCTATTCTCGAATGTCTATTTCTAAATGTCACACGCGACATTGATGAAATGTCGAATAAGAACGCAAAAACGTATTCTGGAATGGCAAATTCGACATTTCTTGTTAGACATAAAGTCGAGTGGTATTCAACCAGTCGACATTGTAATGTCAGTAATACAGTTTATATTTGTTTTTAAGAGAAATGAAAATAAGTATTGTACAAATTGTTTTTAAAAATATATGAAATAATTATTTAAAATCTCACCTAATTTATCAATTATTGGTCCTGTCCAGTGTCGGATTGGGCCGTCGGTCTACCGGCAAAAGACCGGTAGGCCTTCGTTTAAGTTGTGTACCTCCTTTCAGGCAGTGGGGCCTCGTTTGGGGAGTGGGTCCTCGTTCAGGCACTGGGACTCAATCAGTGGGCCTCAGTCAGTGGGCCTCAGTCTGTGGGCCATTGAGAACAAGAAATATAAAATAACCCTTGAAAAAAGCATCAATGTGCAAAGAGAGCCTTTTTTTGCTCTTCAAGAAATCGGCCAATGAAAAAAATTCTCCGTTTTGACCGGTAGGCACTGCCGATCCGACACTGCTCCTGTTTGTCCAAGAGATTTAATACCTGTCATTAAGAAATGTATATAGCTCTATTTTATCAAATTGCAGGTAAAAAGATTATATCACAGACATTTTATGTAACGTTTAGATTATATTCTAATAATATATTTCTTCCTCTTACTATTTAATCTCTTACCAAATTGTACTTCCAATTTTCTATTTAATCCCTTATGAAATTTCAGTTAAAAAGATTATATTTTAAATTTTTCAATGCCCATAAATTTTTTTGAAAAATGTTATCTAAGAAATTTTAAATTTTGGGTGCGTATGCAGAAAAAATCGTAGATTTCAACTGATTCACTTAAAAAGTTCTAACCTAATTTTTTAGGGATGCCACTTCCTACATCTTCGAAAATAGTAAAGAATGATTGCACAAAATTTTTCTCATTTTAATTTGATAGTTCGAATAACTTGTGAACTTTGACAATTCACTGTAGCTACAGCAAGTAGGGTTGCCAACTTTTTGAAAAGTACAATGATGCTGATAGGAGATCCGTGTCCTTCTACTTAACTTTTAAAAAAAACCTATGTAACAAAAAAACAGTCCCTCGTCCTTCTACCAAGCTTCTAAAAAAAAACTCTCAGCTTGTATATAAGCCAGGTCCCTTTCAATGATATCAAGGAGTAAAACCAGACATATGCCGTAAAACATAACATTTTAAGCTTTAAAAAGTGGCAAGGACATTTTGCTTGAAAAAAGGACAGGTGGCAACCCTAATTGCAAGGGATATAGGATATACAGATTATAGGTTAACTAAATATAGAGATTTATTTTTAATAGGGTTTTTTATTCATCGCGCCCTCTATGCCCTGTATGCAAAACTAAAAAGCTATCCATATTACAAAAAATTAGTAATTCCTATTGTCTGAAAGTTTTAGACAAACCTGGAGATTTTGAAACCTATAATCCCAGATAACATTAAGACATATGAGACTTCTTTAAGATGTCTGGTATTTCCTGAATAGATTATAGTCTGGAATATTACATACTTTTTATCCTGGAAAAATATACGGTTCCCGTGGAATAGATTTATTTTTGTTTTTCACAGACATGATTTTTTGCATAGTGGTAGTTAAACATGAAAATTTAAAATAAAGCTACTGAGCATAAATAAATAATGACGTGTTTCATAGACCGGGAGCCGAGAGGGATTTCAAAACGTCATACCTTTGGGACGTCGCCAAGTGGCCGCCATAATGGGACAAACATGTAATTTTTAGCAATGAACATGTATAATAGGTACCGGTATGGCGTTTTGGTTTTAAGATGCTCTGTTGCATCACTTTAGCGGGGGTTACATTGCCATACCGATAGCGTGTCACTAAAGGGGTGCCATACAAAAAAAAACTATTTTTTTTTTGTTTTTAGCGACGCTCTGGAATGGCTAGGCAGAATTGCTTCCAAACTTGTATTTATAGGTTTTTGAGGTCGCTGATTACGAATTTGATGTCAAACTGACCCAATATGGTGGACAAAAAAATGTAAAAATTCATAGATTGTTTTAAAAATGTGTATATACAGGTTTTTGAGGTCATTACTTGTGAAATTGATGAAAAAATATTCAAGATTAAAAATACCGGATCTGATATGGCGGACAAAATGTTCTAAAATGCTTCCATTTTTTTGAAAATGCGTATCTATAGGATATCGATCATGATGAAATCATTAAAGTTTATCATTAAACTACTGATCAACGAGAATTATTAATATACAAAAAAAAATAATTATAAAATTAAAACATGCCTACAGGGCTACGATACGTAATTTGGTATATATAAAGAATTCAAGTAAACATTAATTTCTGTATTAACTAAAAGTACCTACTCCAGTTTATTTGAATTTTTTTTTTTTAAATGAACCGTCATCTGATAGGTCTGCATTGTAGTCAAATGCATCCACATCCGTTTCTGCAATGCCATCAGATAAAGCATCTTCATTTGTTTCTTCATCAAAACTAGCTGTTTCTGTAAATGCATTGATCCGTTAATTTCAATTCAAGTCATTATTGCATGATTGAATGACTAAAATCTTCGTTTATTTATTATTATTATTATTGTTGTTATTAAAAATTTTATCTTTTAAATATAAGTTATAAATATATTAAGTATTTTTTTAGAAATATGTAATATTATTTTATATTGTGACGCGAAGCCATCTCTGTTCCTTGTTTACTCCTTACTTGCGGTATGAAGTCTAGCGATGGTGATATAAAAGCAAATGCACCTCTTCGAGAAACTACCGAAGTGATCCCTTTGCGGCGTATGAGTCATAGAGAGGCAGTTCCCGATCGTTCTGGGTCGCCTAGAGTGTTCTGGTACACAGCTGGCTTTATATAAATAGCGCGAATTTGTCGAAAGAAGTTAAGTTTCAATTTAAGTGTTGGACAGTAAAGACAAATTGTAATAAAAAAATTAGAATTGTGAGTTATAATAGTGTCTAAGTATTATATAAATTAATTAGTACGTTATAAATAAATTTTAAATAGTGTTTTAAATAAATAAACTATAAATAAAATAATAACCTTGCTCTATGGTTTGTGTCGTTTTTTGTTCCTCTTGGTTACGCTCCTCAGTCTCAATATTTTGCAGAACTATTTAATTTATGGTGTTTGTCATAGCTTTAACGTCAAACCACTTGAAAGTATAGCCATCATCAGACAAATCCCAACCATGATGGGAAGCATTTTCGTGCACTGTTGGAACTTTCAAATGGGCGTTACACCAAATGTCGGCAACCTAAGATACTCGCAATAGTTGTTGATATAACTCAGCTTTGCATGCTGGAATAGTCGAGGCATCAAAGTTTCGTAATGTCTTGTTTAATGATTATTTATCACTCTTCATGGTGTACGATTTTAAAAATAGAGTCAATTTGACTTCGTTAACGTCGTTGATGTGGTTTTATCATACAACCTGCAAGAATGTATAACGTTTTGTACGAATCGATGTATGACTTGTTAATTATTTTATATAATAGAGGAATAAAAATCAAACCTGCACACAAATCGTTCAAGCACGGAAAAGCTTTCTTCACGTTGTTATTAAAAGCATCTTGCCGTTCCAAGACAATTTGCAACGGCTTCTTCTTTCCTTTGCTGGGATAGAATCGCATCCAGTCATTGCATGAAGACCTGCCAATTATACGATTAATTGTGAACTTTAGCGACATGCCATGGGTATGGCAGTGATATATTCCGGCGTTATACTTCAAAATACACATAAAAATGCCGGTATAGCACTTAACCTATGTAAATGTGACAACTTTGGAAGCCAATATCTGACGTTAGCGACATCGCATCGGTATGGCAGTGATATATTCGTGCTTTATCCTCCAAAATACACATAAAAATGCCAGTATGACAGTGGGGCCTTTAATACACTTAACCTATGAAAATGTAACAACTTTGGAAGCCAATATCTGACGTTAGCGACATCGCATCGGTATGGCAGTGATATATTCGTGCTTTATCCTCCAAAATACACAAAAATGCCAGTATGACAGTGGGGCCTTTAATACACTTAACCTATGAAAATGTAACAACTTTGAAAGCCAATATCTGACGTTGGCGACATCGCATCGGTATGGTGCTATTAGAACTTTGTTTAGGACATCAAAATTAACAAAAGAGACACATTTCCATGGTGAGACCTATTATGCATGTTCATTGCTAATAATGACATGTTTGTCCCATTATGGCGGCCACTTGGCGACGCCCCAGAGGTATGGTGTTTTGAAATATTTGTTGTACAGTTCACGAAACAACAGCATGGGGCCCATGATCCATTTCCACAGTGAAAAAATGACACGTTTCGGAAAGTATGGCGGACCTTAAGTGGCGCCATATTGGTATGGCATATTGAGATCGCGGACTTTGGCAACCTCCTTGATGACATAAAACAAGAACCAAAGTGGGCCCTATGATCCAGGGGCATGGATATTAATTACAAGTTCGAAAATTCACCCCCTCCCTCCCCTAAAAGCTACACTTTAGGGGTCCCATACCGGGAATTCAAACGTTGTCTATCAACGTTTGTCTATCAACTCTAGGCGTGTATGATACATGCAAAAACCCTCTCCGCTCCCGGTCTATCAGGGTTTTTGGATTTGCACATTTTAAGGGGGGAAACGGAGATTAAAAGTATTGATTTTTTTAAAGGTAGGAACTTGAAAATTGGAAATATAGCTACTCATCACAAATAATAATTAATAGTGTGTTTCAGTGATTTTGGATTTTCATATTTTAAGGGGAAAGGGAAGAAATGAAAAAAATGGGAAAAATGTGAGAAAGGGGGAAATGGGGATAAGGGGGTAAAGAGTTTAAGGGGGGTACGGGAGTAAAGAGGGTAAAATCAAAAGTTTTTATATGTGTATCGCTTTTTTAGAGGTAGGAAATTGAAAATTTGAATTGTAGCTACTTATCATAAATAAATAGACATTAAGGGGGAAACGAGAGGTGAAAGTTCGTATGAGATTTTCGGTATTTTAAAGGTAGGAACTTGAAAATTGGAATTGTAGCTACTCATTATTATTAAATATTGACGTATTTCAAGGTTTTGGATTTTCACATTTTAAAGAAGGGGGAAATGGGTGGTATCGTAAAACTAATAAATAAAAATGAATAAAAATAAATAAAAAATTAATAATTATTAATATAAATTAATAAAAATAAAGATTAATAAAGAGTTAAATAATATATGTAATAAAAATTAATAAAAATTAATAAAAATTAAAAAAAAAATAATAAAAATTAATAAAAATTAAAAAAAAAATAATAAAAATTAATAAAAGTCAATAAAAAGTAATGAAAATTAATAAATTTTAATAAAAATTAATAAAAAAAATAATAAAAATTTATAAAAATTATAAAAATTTATAAAAATTATAAAAATTTATAAAAATTATAAAAAATAATAAAAATCAATAAAAGCTAATAAAAATTAATAAAAATAAATGAAAATTAATAACAAAGAATAATGAAAAATTTATAAAACCCAATAAAAATTATTAAAACTTAATAATTAATTAATAAAAATTATTAAAAATGATTGAAAATTAATAAAAAATAATAAAAATTATTAAAAATTATTGAAAATTTTTAAAAATTATTAAAATATATTAAAAATTCTTAAAAATCATTAAAAATTATTAAAAATTATTAAAAATTATTAAAAATTATTAAAAATTATTAAAAATTATTAAAAATTATTAAAAATTATTAAAAATTATTAAAAATTATTAAAAATTATTAAAAATTATTAAAAATTATTAAAAATTATTAAAAATTATTAAAAATTATTAAAAATTATTAAAAATTATTAAAAATTATTAAAAATTATTAAAAATTATTAAAAATTATTAAAAATTATTAAAAATTATTAAAAATTATTAAAAATTATTAAAAATTATTAAAAATTATTAAAAATTATCAAAAATTATTAAAAATTATTAAATATTATTAAAAATTATAAAAAATTATTAAAAATTATTAAAAATTATTAAAAATTATTAAAAATTATTAAAAATTATTAAAAATTATTAAAAATTATTAAAAATTATTAAAAATTATTAAAAATTATTAAATTATTAAAAATTATTAAAAATTATTAAAAATTATTAAAAATTATTAAAAATTATTAAAAATTATTAAAAATTATTAAAAATTATTAAAAATTATTAAAAATTATTAAAAATTATTAAAAATTATTAAAAATTATTAAAAATTATTAAAAATTATTAAAAATTATTAAAAATTATTAAAAATTATTAAAAATTATTAAAAATTATTAAAAATTATTAAAAATTTTTAAAAATTAAAAATTATTAAAAATTATTAAAAATTATTAAAAATTATTAAAAATTATTAAAAATTATTAAAAATTATTAAAAATTATTAAAAATTATTAAAAATTATTAAAAATTATTAAAAATTATTAAAAATTATTAAAAATTATTAAAAATTATTAAAAATTATTAAAAATTATTAAAAATTATTAAAAATTATTAAAAATTATTAAAAATTATTAAAAATTATTAAAAATTATTAAAAATTATTAAAAATTATTAAAAATTATTAAAAATTATTAAAAATTATTAAAAATTATTAAAAATTATTAAAAATTATTAAAAATTATTAAAAATTATTAAAAATTATTAAAAATTATTAAAAATTATTAAAAATTATTAAAAATTATTAAAAATTATTAAAAATTATTAAAAATTATTAAAAGTTATTAAAAATTATTAAAAATTATTAGAAATTATTAAAAATTATTAAAAATTATTAAAAATTATTAAAAATTATTAAAAATTATTGAAAATTATTGAAAATTATTGAAAATTATTAAAAATTATTGAAAATTAGTAATCATGCATTTTTTGATATAACACGACTCCACGCGTGGAAAGCCGCGGGCAACAGCTAGTTTTTATAATAAATCATTTAAGGCGAGATGAGCTATTATTATGCTTAATCGCCTACTTTGACAATTTTACTTTAACTTCACTTAAAATGGCTATCTAATAGGGCTCATTTGATATTAATATTTCTCAAAATCTCCATAATAACAAAACAAAAATGATAATTGACGAATATCTGAATTAAATCTTATATTAAGATGTTTACATTTAAATTCATTTAGTTATTCTTTCTTAGAAGAAATAGAATATTAATGTTCTATGTATATAAACAAATATTCATTTATTACCTGTAGAAAGTATTCCAGGAACGTGCTTGATCGGTAACAGAAACTCCGCTATTCTCTCTCTGGTTTTAGTCCCATATTATTTAAGTAAAAGGAGACTGAACACAAATGCATAAAATAGCCCAAATACACTTTTGGTGGCTATAATCGCGTACGCAATAAAATAATAATTAACAATAAGCTTGGGGGCCATAGACATTTTTGGCTTGGACTTGAATGTAATGTTAAGTTAAACGTCAAACTTCACTTCATTCGATTCTTTTTGTTAAATTTGAATTATGTAAACCTTGCAAGTTTCTATCCGATTGAAAGACGTTTGTAAGACGTCTTTGAGCTTTCACATTTACTTATTTATTTATTTATTTGGGACACAAACAGGACAAACCCAGAACAGTGTCCACTAAAAATATACAAAGAATGATTAATTAATCAAAAAAAAAGTTAAACATTAAAACTATGCTACAAATTAAATGCAAGGTACTTAGATATCTATAACGGGCAATACAAGTAAACAATTATAAGTTTTAAAATATAAATTAAATTTAAATTAAAAAAAAAGAATGTCACAAATGTAAAAAGTGAGCCTTAAGTGCATCTTTAACCTTAATAAAATTGCGGAGAAAAATGTCGATGTCAACAGTATTCGACAATTTATTGTGTTAGTAGCCCTATGAAGGGGCCAATTTAAATAGCAATATATGAATTTGGCAAGGCGTCTTTAAGACGTCTTAAGAACGTATTTGAGCTATCACAGTAATACGTTCTGAATTATGGCTTTTGCCAGACATCTTATAAGTCTTAATAACGTCCTAGGACATTGAGACCAAACCAAGACACATCTGGGATAATTATAAATCCTTATGTTAATAAAATTAGAAATATTTGTTTCATATTCTTTTTTTTTTCTAGACTCGCGTAAATCTAATGATGTCACAATACCATTCTCTACTCAGTTCCTACGGTGAAGATATTTCAGATAAAAGTAAAACGTTACTGCAAATTATCACCAAATTCGCTTCTGCGTATTGTTCAACCATTGAAGGTACGTCGAGGAATATCGAGACGACAGAATTGTGTGGCGGTGCCAGAATTTGTTACATTTTCCACGAAACTTTTGGTAGAACTCTGGATTCGATCCATCCATTGGCCGGATTGACCAAAATGGATATTTTAACGGCAATAAGGTAGTTTTTTTTTTTATTTGATATGAGTACAAATCATTTTTATAAATATAAGTTTTCGATCGTAAAATATTGTTTTTACTCAAGTTAATAATATGTATAGTATAACAATTTTTATTTGAGAGTGACTGCACTGCGGTCGGCCGGCAATAATATATGCCACGCTGATGAGTCATCCTCAAATAAAAGTTGTTATTCTATAGTAATCATTTTTGGTGAAGTTGAGAAATTCGCTTTTAAATTTTTTGTATAAAAAAATAGACCTTGAAAAAACACTTAAAACATTAAACTAAATAACTAATAAATGGTTTCGAAATTATATTCAAATAGTAGGACAGAATTTCGTAAAAATATATTTTTTTAATGAGTTACATACAACACTTTTGATTTAACTCGTGTGAATCTATCTACCTATCTATCTGAATTAGAGTGTGGTTCAAGCCAACTCGAACTGAAACTCTGGGCTTACTGTACCCCTCACAGTTTCAACCCCATCAGGTTAATATTCTTGATGAATTCAAGATGTCTGATGGGCGCTTTTGCGATTTCTTCAGTTCCGGATATTGTACCCCGAATCTCCATTCCCAATAGCATATGTAAATAGGAGTTTCGTCCTCCTCTTTACATATTCTACATAGGGAGTCTTCAGATATACCTAAGAGATTTAGGTGTCTTCCAAGGCCGCAGTGTCCCGTAAATAATCCTATTACGGCCTTTAGTTCGCTGAATATTTTGGACTGAGTCCAGGAAGTTACAACCAGAGCCTATGGTGTTCTCTATCTGTTCCATTAGCACCCGTTTAACATGTTGTCTGGTCCAATTAGAGTTTTTTCAGCTCCCTTACTGGCTAGGAGATCTGCTTTCTCGTTTCCAAAGACTCCCTCATGGCCCGACACCCATTCAAGAGTGACCTTGTTATGTTCTTCCAGGGCTTGGAGGGACTGTTGGCAATCAAATATTAATTTACATTGTACTTCTACCCTTTTCAGTGCTAAAGGGCTGCCTGACTGTCATGATAAAGTTTTCTTTATATCTAAAAGAGTCATTTAGCATAACATTGGCGCAGGCATTTATTGCTGTTACTTTAGCCTGGAAGACTGTTGTCAGTGATCCCAGGTTCAGACTAATGGTCCTTTCTCAGTTCACAGTTCATCTTTGATACCAGCTTGATTCGTTTTGTATTTTCCAGGGTTTTCGCCCTTCCGGTATTTGAATATCAAATATCCTAAAGTCATAATAGGTGTTCTATCAGATGGCATTCTTAACACCGGATTTTATTTTAATTTCTCTAATATCATTGTATGGTGTCCTTTTCTCGTCCAAATCCATTACTATGCCGCCGTCGCCGCGGCCGCAGCCTCCTTCTCTACCACAAGGTGTAATGGAGGAACATCTATCAGTAGCTACATTGCTGCAGTGGGAGTAGTTCTAAATGCCCCTGTTATTATTAGACAGGCTAGTCTTTGTACCTTGTCTAATTTTCTGTTGGCTGTTATGCTTTTAGTTTTGTGCCATCATATGACTGATGAGTAAAAGCTATAAAGGTACTACAACCATAGTATAAAGCAAGTGCAGCTAACATGGTTTAATCCCCCAAGTGTTCCATACCATCCGTGTACAGACTCATAGTATTCTTACAGCTTTTTCTGTTGTTTTTTCTATATGGCTGCAGAAGCTAAACTTGTCATCAATAGTGATTCCAAGATATTTAACCTCTTTTGCCATTTTTAAATGTTGTCCCCACATATAAAGCTCCTTCATTCCCTGAAGGTTCCTTTTTCTTGAGAATGCAAGAACAGAGGTTTTCGTCGGATTCGTGGACAATCCCTCTTTTAGGCACCATCTTTCGACGGTATTTAATGCCTGCTGCATTCTTTCGGAAACAACAATTTACCATTTACTAAGATGCTCCCATAAGAGGTCACCAGGTTTGGAAATTAAATCAACTGTTGCAGACCTTCAGCTTTGTAAAACATATCTGAGGGCCATGCTAGCTTGAAATAGTGGTCCCTCCAGTACTTCCTGGCCCTTTTGTATAAATGCCGGGGTTATACCATCAGGTCCAGCGGTCTTGTATGGTTGAAAGGAATTTATCGCCCATACAAGTTTTGTTCTCTTTACTATTGTGTTTGCATGTGACCAGTTTGCTATTTTTGAGGTCCTAAGAACTAATGCCTCGATACTTCTGTTCTCGTGGTCAAGGATAATCTCACATCCAGGAAAGTGTGACCTTAGTAATAAATATAAAGTCTCCTTCTCTGTGTTTTTGAGTTCTTGTTGATTTTTCAGATATCCCATGCATCCTTGCTTTAGAGTTTTTCTAAGTCTGGATCATTTTGGAAGGCTTTCAAGGTCGTCACAGAATTTCTTACAGGATTTTTTTTGGCTTCCCTAATGACGTAGCCATATTCTCTCCAGTAAGCCTTATATGTTTCCCAGTTCCCCGACCTTTTGGACAGATTAAATAGTTTACGAACTTCTTTTTTGGAAAGATCTCGATTCCACCATACAGCATCTTGATCCTCTTTCCTTATTTTTATAGGAGAGTTTTTTCAAACATGTTGGTCAAGGTTTGTGTCAGAAACTCAAGTTCCACTGAATTCTTCAGTGTCTAAGGACGGTCATCCAGTCCTTGCTTGAGTTGATCCTTGAAGGTCCCCCTTGAGTTCATCCATGAAGGCCTCCCAGTTACAGGTCCTACGATTATGATATGTCTTCTCAACTGAAGTTTCTATACGCATAATAAACAGGATATGCCTATGGTTGGAAAGTGACGCTTCTTTTGAGACATGGCAGTTCCCCACCAATGAACGCGCCCGTTGTGTATCATTTCCAACGTTTGCCACTTCTAGTTTATTGGAAGCAATTAATTATAGAAAACCTTCTCTTCGATAATTAATGTCACTGCTCCCCCATACTATGTAGTGAGCATTCGCTTTACACCCTAGGAGACGTTCGATTTTGTTTTTTTCACCTCATTGGTGGGGGAGCCCAGGTTGGTCACATGGCAAATAAAAGGATCCAACAATTAAATTAATTCCTCCATTTAGCTTGAGGGATATTGTCACTAGGTCATTTGTACAAATTCTCATAATGGAAACACCTTTAAGCTTCTATTTGCAATAATGCAGGTTCTTGGTTGTCCAGACGCTGAGTGAATTATGTCAATCCCCTGATATATGCAACCCTCTAATTCGCCACTTGTATTCAAGAGGTTCTTAGATTAGGGCAAGATCAATGTATCATTGTAGGACAGCTGTTACCGCCCAACAGTGATGTATATTTGCTTGGATTACCTTAATTTTTTTTAAATGTTCCCTTAGTTCTTGATATAGGTCCCTCTTCCTTCTCCGGCACAGTAGCTGGGACATAAAGCGAGCGGTGAGTCCCCTAAAAGAGTCCTCCCCTCGTCTTCACCTAGATCATGTGCTGTAGATTCCGAGCCCCCTATTTCCATTAAAGACTCAGCCAATTGTTCTGTAGTCCCACTTTCTTTGAGGTTCTGCGATCAAGGATTGATTCTCCTCTAGTATGTTTTCTCCCTCAGTGGGAATTTCTTGTTCCTGAGAAATTTCAGGAGCAGCAGGAACAGCCCTGTTCCGCCTTTCTCCAATCTCTTTTATCAAGATATTAGAGAAATTTAGAAACAGTAGTCCTAGGTTCTCCTTTAGCTTCTCCCAAGAGATAGAATCCATCTTAATGAAAAGTTGCTGTCTCCTAGAGTCCAACTTCCTTCCAGTAACTCTCCAGTTCTCCGTTTGAAGCCCCGAATTTTGAATTCTTAGTATCTTCATTATTCGGTCCTGTTCCACTACTGGTCCCTAGAGTGAGTTTAGCACCTGTTCAAGGTATCATGGTTGTAAGCTTCCATTTCATATTCTAGCTTTGTAGAAACTCGAAGAAAGTCCTCCTTTGTCTAGTTCTTCCAGCCTTTCGAGCAGTGCAGTCCTTATTAGGTCTGCCTGCTCCGTTGTTAATAAATTATTGGGATATTATCTGTAAAAGTATTTATTGAAATTGAATAAATGAAAATAGTCTATTGGTACAATAGTCATCCCAATATTTTTTACCTTTGAGGCATAAGAACACGTAGCTACTGACTTGGTCCCATCTGGCCCCTCATTAGATGTGGTTCCCGTTGATCTTGAACCCGCAGCTCTTGCATATTAGTCCTTTTTGTTTTTTTCTTTTTCCGGCGGGCTGGTATCGGACAGGTTTCTCTTTTGACCCCTGGTTCGCCCCTGCTCGTTGGACAGGTCCTTGATCATGTTTTTTGTTTTGCCATCCCTGATGCCCTAGGACTCGCCTTCTCCGTAAAGAGGGGACTACATGCTTGCCCCTGTTCCTTCACTGGTAAAGCGGTTCACCCTGTGCCGGATGAACTGGGTCCTGCCACAATCCCCACATCTATTAATGCGTTTTGTCGAAGCCTCCTCTACTATCGGCTGAATGCTCCCGTTTTTTGGTTTTCTGTCTTTATTGTCCATATAAGTCCTACGAGTAGCTAGGGAAAGATTGGCCACTCCTGACAGAGCTCAATATTATCAGATGGTTACTTGGGGGTGTCGCCCAGACCATTTTTGGGCTGATTACTTCAGAGCTCAGCGCTTTGATGGCTGCTTGACTATCGGACATGATGAAATCTTTTGTCTGTGATAGTTTCTCTCGATGTTGAACTGGATACACTTCTTATTGTCGTAAATTTCCGTCTGAAAGATGTTTGGGTATATACCCAAACTTTCAGAGTGCCTGGTTCTAGGCCCATACACTCCTATTCCAGTTCCTTCTATAGTTTTGGAACCATCCATATACAACTGAATGGCATGTCTTTCAGTTGCATAAATGATGTATTATTGGCATCATTCTTTCTTGCAGCTTAGTTCTCTGGTTTTGAAGTTTTTTACAAAACTGTACTTATTTCTCATTTCGTCCTGGGTCATATCCCAAGTACCTTCGGTCTTGAAGCTAATTTATTTTTGTCTGATTACTCCGTTCATGATCATTCTATATTAAATGTAGATGGGCAAGATTTAAAATCAACTCCATTGCAGCAGGTTCTAATTGCAGCAGTGATAAGTGATGTTTTTTGTCACTATTGTTGTATACATTCATCGTCGTATGTCCGGGTTACATATCCCCATCTTTATATATAGGACTAACATATAGAATCACTTTTATTTCAAATAATTGTTAACTATTCGAACATTGAAAATTATACAGACTAAGAAAAAAATTATACGAACCATAGGCTATAGACACTGCGTGTAAACATCATACCACCTCTCCTATGACCTGCCAGCTCAAATTAGTAATGCATTGTGAGGTATTGTTCTCTGAAATTAAATAAAGAATATTTACGTAATTCCCCGATTCTAGAATTAAGAATTATTAACTTTATTATCATTGAAGATGGGTCAATAATGTGATCCCTTAAAATACCAGTGCAAACATTTAATTTCTGAAGATACTGTGTGCATGTCGAAATACTTAAATGTTTATTTTCCCGAAAACAATGCCCCACTACTAATGGATTGTTGTGCAATGAAAAAAGTTGACTCGTTGGTAAATAAAATGTATTTTAAAAAGTTTTCATTTTGATTCTGCCGATTCGTCATAATTTCGCAAAACGAGTGATGGATATGTATGTTTATTGAACATGTTCACCAATTTGATTACGATACTCTGATGGTTTAGGAATAATGTGCTGCAATTACAGAGATAGGCTACACCGCATGGCTCGTATAATTTTTTACAAATCTGTAGATATTCTTAATTGTTCCCTTGCATCTAATAAAAATTATTTTCTGTGATGGGAAAAAAGTTTGACATTTTATCTCTGTCAGGTAACAAAATGTCACTTTTTATGTTTTTCCGGAAAAAAAGTGAGTAGTTTTTTCCCGGATATACAGGGTGGGTCTGGAGCAGCGCACCAAACTCTAGGAGTATATTATACACGTGAAAATAATATAAAAAAACTCATATGTTCTTATCCGATTTTTATTTGTTTTCAAGTAATGGCGTAATTAAAAATGTTCAACTAGCTTTCCACTTCTGAATTTTAACATTATCAAAGTATGCCATATGTTCAAGGCTCAAAGGCATTTGATAATTCTGACGTTTTGATGAACTGTCAGTACAGTGAACAGTAACTGAACGTTTAATTTCGAATTTATGTGTTTGTTAGTGTTGCAAAATGACAGATACTTATTCAAATTTAGAATATGCAAATATGGTGTTTGTTTGTGGTTTCTGTAATGGAAATGCTACAGCTGCTGCTGAAAAATATCGTCAACGTTTTCCACACCGAAGATATCCTGATTAAAACGTATTTATTAGAGTTTTCAACAAATTGTGCGGGACTGGTAAGCTTCCCAGTGCTTTCATAACATCTGAACGCGCTACTCGACAAGGTTTTGTAGAAGTAGAAAATATTCTGCATCTAGTAGAAGAAGATGCAACTACTAGCTCACGGAGAATTGCCACTCAATTGGGAATTCCACAAAAAAGAGTGATAAACACACTCCACGAGCAAGGCTTATATCCTTATCACGTACAGAGAGTGCAGCACCTACAACCACAGGATTACGCTAACCGTATGGAGTTTTGTCAGTGGATAAATAATAATCATCGTGTTGTATCGAGTATACTCTTTACGGATGAAGCTACATTTACCCGTGATGGCATTAATAATACTCGTAACTATCATGTATGGTCAGACGAAAATCCCCACGCAACAGTCGACAGCAATTTTCAACATCGGTTTTCTGTAAACGTATGGTGTGGTATGGTTGAGAGTTATTTAATTGGCCCTTTCATTTTGAAGAATCGTCTCACAAGAGACAACTACCTCAATTTTTTACAAAATGAATTACAAGGCCTGCTAGAGGATGTTCCTGTAAATATTAGAATGCAGATGTACTATCAGCACGATGGAGCTCCTGCATATGTCGCTCGTCAGGTCAAGCATTATTTGGACGAACGTTTTCCAGGGCGTTGGATTGGTCGTGGAGGTCCTATTAATTGGCTGGATAAAAAATTAAGTCTACAAAATAAAAGTACACGGGATGCACTAATTAGACGAATTGAGAATACTGCAGCCCATATTAAAGAAGAAAGAAATGAATCAATTAGTAGAGCAACAAACGCTCTTCGTAGACGAAGCAGAAAATGTTTAGAAGTCAATGGCGGTATTTTTAATCATTTATTGAAAGAACGCTATGATTAAGAGAATTTTTATGTGTAAATTTGTTTATTTGTTAATATTCTATAACTTGAAAACAAATGAAAATCGGATAAGAACATATGAGTTTGTTTACATTATTTTCACGTATATAATATACTCCTAGAGTTTGGTGCGCTCCTCCCGACTCACCCTGTATACACACATAAGTAAAGGTAGATATTTTAGAATATATTTTTCAATATTACAGAAAAAATTGTGTATTATACACGGAAAAAATATTAGCTCTCGGTTTTTTGTCTCCCTTCGCTAAAATCTAATACGTTTTTCCTTGTATAATAAATAACTATTTTTCTCACTTTTAGTCATTTAAAGACGGAAATAGAGGCACCCTTTTTTGTCCTTGTATAAGTTCTTTTTTTTTTTTTTTTCAGAATACACCCATGCCTGTCTTAGTTCGTATTTATTTAGATTTAATTCAAATATATACAAGAATAAGCTTTTATATTAATTGTAGTAAAGTTTTGTATTATGCCTTTGCAAATAGGGGCAACCTTAATGGATATTGTATTAAATAAATAAATGATACGAGGCCTCAAAAGCTAAAATTATATTTCAAAATCTTCTCTGAAATACCTTTTTATTTTCTTTTAGAAACGCTAATGGGCCGCGACCAGCGCTCTTTGTTCCTGAAGTTTCCTTTGAATTGTTGGTAAAAAGACAGATTAGAAGACTAGAAGAACCTTCTTTACGTTGTGTCGAATTAATTCATGAAGAAATGCAAAGAATAATTCAGGTAAAATTTATTTGCATAAACATAAGACTATACAGCACTTGTCAGTTACCCTGTTTTGTTTAAAATATTTCGCTGACGAAAAACAATACTGTTATTAAAATATAAATATACATATTGAAAGTGACAAGAGTGTATGATGTATAAGAATGAGTCGCCCCAATTTTATATAAAAATCAAAAAAATAAAAATTAATAGGAATAAAATAAGTGAAAATGAATAAATAAATAAAAATACATCTAAATCTAAATAAATTAAAATAAGCTACAACGTGAAAAATATGAGCAGTTAATTGATAATAACAACATACATTGTGACAAGGCTGTATCACAAATGAACGATGTTATCAAAAAAATTCTTAAAACCGTTTCTAGGATAGGAAGGAGAAACTAAAGTGACATAAAAGAGAACTCACCCCCATCAACCCCCTAGGCCCCACTTACCCCAACTAAAAATGTGATGTATCTCAAGTAGGGGTTTGCTATTTAAATTTTTTTAGTTGGGGTAGGTGGGACCTAGGGGGTTGATCGGGACAAATTCTCTTTTATGTCATTTTAGTTCCCCCTTCCTAACCTAGAAACGGTTTTAAGCATTTTTATATCATCTTTTGTTTGTGAATTGTAAATTTTTAAATTGTTTTTAGTGTGTCTTACATAATTGTCCCACTGAGTATAGGTAACATTATTCAAAGCTTTTGACCAAGTCTGAAATACATCTACCGATGAGAACTTTTTCGTTATGTTCATCATAAACCTGTTTGCACTGTGACCATAGTATATCTATCGCATTGTACTGGTAGTTATATGGAGGAATTCTTAATATTTTATGCCCATATTCCTCAACATATCTATCTAGGTGAAATTCTTTTCGTGGTAGATTTGGACGTACAACTTCCGAAACCTGATATTTCATACCATTGATTGGATAATTAATGTTCTTTTCCTGCAACCATTTTATCTTTTGTCCAACTATAACATGGAATTGATTCCACATATCACGAAATGGTACTGGCATTATCGATTATAATCAAAGAAGGATGTTCCAGACTAGGTATAAATTTATAGGGTTTTTTGATCATGTGAAGGTGATTGAAAAACATTTATGTGGATTTAAAGACATGGCATTATTTAAAGCCCAAGTAATAAAATAGTTTAAATCATCCTGTAACTTCAAACAGTCAGGTAAGTTTAAGATTTCCATGAATAATTTCAGGTCATCGGCGAATAGTAGGAACTTAACAATATTTAAATCCTGAAGCCACATCGTTAATAAATATATTAAATAGCAATGGTCCCAAATGAGATCCCTGGGGGACACCTGAACTTACATTTATTGGAATCGAACTAAAACTTTTAACTTTGACATATTGAACCCTGAATTGCAGGTAACTTTCTAACCATTTCACTAAGTAGTTTGGAAACCCGAATTTCACTAGTTTCCTTAAAAGCAAATCATGGTTCACCGTGTCAAATGCCTTCGAGAAGTAGTGTAAATTGAGTTAACCTGACACCCCCTCTCGAAGGCAGAAATGATATAATGTTAGTAGAGCAGTAAATTTGTATTAGTAGACGTACCTCCCATAAACCCTTGCTGTTGTTCAATCAAAATGTTTTTACAATGCCATGACAAAGGTTTATACAGTGTGTCTACTTAAGTTGGAACCATATGGAAAACATTTTTATTATTGATTTTAGGAAAAAAAGTTATTCTTGATAAAAAGTTCTGCATGACCCAAAACTTAAAATACAGTCATCAGATATCAAAATTTTCAAGCCGTATACGAGGTTTGTCAAAAAATATGAATTTTGCTCAAGAGTAAAGTACGTTTATTTTTTTACAAAATCGAAAATTTTCATTAAGAAATTTGCTAAATTCTTCACAAACATCAACAAAATGAAAGCGTATCATGTTTATAGTAGCTAACGTAATTTATAACGTTTTCAGATATTTACAATCAATGTGTAGAGTGTAGAGTTTATAAAAAATAAGAACATCTGTTTTTTCAGATAGATCGGTGGAATTGCATATTTGAATGTAATATTCAATTCTAATCAACTTTTCTTAACGAAAATTCTCGATTTTGTAAAAAATAAACGTACTTTACTCTTGAGCAAAATTCATATTTTTTGACAAACCTCGTATACGGCTTGAAAAATTTGATATGTGATGACTGTATTTTAGGTTTTGGGTCATGCAGGACTTTTTATCAAGAATAACTTTTTTTCCTAAAATCAATAATAAAAATGTTTTCCATATGGTTCCAACTTAAGTAGACACACTGTATAACAATAATTCTAATAATTTAGGTATTGCAGAAAGTAAAACTACAGGCCGATAGTTAACTATGTCATCTTTCTGACCATTTTTAAATATGGGGGTAATGAAACTATCACGCCATTTTGCAGGAAACTGTTGTAATTTCAAAGATGAATTAAATAAAAACTGTAGTGGTTTGGAAAGAGTGAATTAACATTTTTTCAAAAAATAAGCAGGGATTCCATCTGGACCATAACTCAATTTATCTTTTAGGGAGTTAATACCATCATAAACATCACTTAAAGAAAACTGTATAAAGGGAATATCAGGCTGGTTAAAAGCATTAGAATGAAGGTTTGGCTCGTCTACAACACTGGAGAAATGAGTAGCAAACAAATTACTGATGTCTTTCGCATTATCAGCAATTGTACCATTATAATAAATTCTATTGGAAATACCATGGTCTTGTTTCAAAGAATTAATGTGGTTCCAGAAGTATTTTGTATTTTCACAAACCTTCAGATCTATACCAGAAATATAATTTTCATAATTTAGTTTTGATAAATGTTTACATTGAATACAGCATGAGCTGCCTTCTTACGAGAAATCAACTTTTTAAGTTCAGCTGAAAACCATCTAGGGTATACTGATGGTTTATATCTCCTAACAGGTACAAATAAAGCTAATGCCAATTTTAAAATCTGATAAAAAATTTCAACACAAACATTAATATCATTATTGACTAAAATACCCTCCCAATTATTTGGAGCAAAATAATTATTTAAAGCTACATAATCCGCTTCTTTAAAGTCATGAAAAACAATGTCACAAAACAAGGGACTAATATCACTGACAGTTAATTCACATGAAATTGCAACATGGTGGAAGTTATTAGGCAATAGGGTGTCTACAGCTGTCTCGATAGTAACCGAATTCCCAGCGTCATTGTTACAAAAATATATTCTGCAGGACAAGAGACAGAGAGACCATCATCATACGAATAATTCCATATAGCATTTGGAAGATTATAGTCCCCAAAAAGGTATAGCTTATTGTTAGGGTTGTTTTCCACTATATGCTCAACAGCAGAACAATCATCAATATAAGCATCATGATTTAACCCTGGTGGAATGTAGACAGCGCCAAAAATAATAGTTTCATTATTGATCGACAATGAAACAAATAAATGTTCAACATTAATAAACTGAGTAGTAAAATGTGATGTTTTATATTTACTTTTAACTAAAATCAAGACACCACCACCTCTGGTTCTTGAGCTAGTATGTATGTTCCTGTCTGCTCTGAAGACCCTGTAACCACTAACGCAGAGTTCATTATCCTTGAAATTATCAGTCAGCCACGACTCCACCAAAACAATAACATCATATTCACATTGGTAATACACCGATAATGAAGAGCTTTTTAGTTTTTAGATGGAGCGTTTTTTGCAATAATTGGCACACCCTGCTGATATTTAATTGATAAGTCAAGTTCAACATTATCTTTTCTGTCCTTAAGTTCAGACATAACCTCTTTTTAACTGATCTTGCTGGAGTTTAGTTTTATCGTAACTAATTTTAATTCCATTTTAGACATCATTGCATTCTTTACAATAAATGAATTTGTGGTAATAACTTTAATAGGTCTGGATCTGCCCTGGGCTATCTTGCCAACCCGTATAACTTTGACCACATCACTAGAATTCCAGCCCAATTGATTAAAAACAGGTACCAAACTAGCTATATCATTATATAAGTTGCTTTCAGTTGGCATCAACTTAGGCTTTGTTTTGAGGTGGGAAAGCTCATTGACTGATCGTTTTCAAAGGGTAAAAATAGGTTGTTACTACTCAGATACAATTAATGTTACATCTGGTGTACCTCAAGGGGCCATAGATCACCTCTTCTTTTCAACATTTTTGTGAATATTATTGTTGGTTGTTTTGTGTACAGCCAATGTGCTAAGTTTGCTGACGATCTCAAGTTTTGGAGAACATTTGTGATCAAGAACTCCTTCAGGAGGATTTGAATCGTTTAGTAGAGTGGTGTAATAAAAACAAATTGTACTTAAACGAGAATAAATGTTGCTATATTAAGTTTTTCACGTAAAGCTGTTAGGATAGCAACAAACTATTTTATTAATGATCACCAACTTGAATACAAATCAACAGTAAAAGATCTGGGTGTCATTTTTGATGAAAAACTAGCATTTGTTGAACATATAAACTCAATCTCTATTAAAGGATCAAAAGTGTTAGGATTTGTTATAAGAAATTGTAAGTACTTCTCCACTGATGCCACCAGAATGGTCTACTGCTCGTTAGTTAGATCCGTGCTTGAGTATGGCTCAATTGTGTGGTCACCATTTTTTAAAATTCATTCTGATACTTTGGAAAGGGTACAACACAAATTTTTGAGAATATGTGCAGTTAAAAGTAATTTCAGGTCATGATTATAGTGCTATAGAAAGTCAATTAAATTTGCCTCCTTTAAGGGAAAGAAGAGACATATTTGGATTAGTATTTTTATTCAAAATTTTAAATGGAATTATAGACAGTCCTTCTCTTTTGAACGGGATTAGCCTAAATGTTCCTTATTACCTTGGACTGAGATATCCATTAACATTTAATATACCGTTTCATAGAACGAGCTATGGCGTCAACAGTCGTATTGACAGATATTTGTCTATGTTGAATAATCTTAATTTAGATATTTTTAATATGGGATTAGCCAAATTTAAAACCAATT